TATTTTGAACTAGATTTCTTAACTTTTTAAACTACTTCTTGTATTTTTCTTAATTGAGTTTCAAGTGATTTGCCTTCTAGCTTTCAATTGACCTCTCTTGGTATAAATATTTTCTTTATTGAAGAGAATATCTTTAAACTGCTACTGTCCTCTCTCCCCTGATTCATTCTACTTCTCTTACAGTCGTTCTTTCATAGTCTGATTTTGTCTACCTACCTACCTTTTGTATTAATCTCTTCCTGTGAAATTTCTAAATATACTTCAAAGCTTGCCATATTAATATGATGGGCTGCTCACTAATTGTTCTCTCACCTCTGTTTTCCACACTCTTTCCTAAATATTTGAAAGACTGACAAACCTGAATGCTGATAGTTCCTATTGACCTAGTCTATGCGAGGACAATTGACTTCTCCCATGACAACTACTTTTTTCCAAAACAAATATTTCTGATTTCATTATATAGTGTTATTCATCCATCTATCCATTTTCTAACTACTTCATCATGCAGGGGAGCTGTAGCATATCTCTGGGGAGCTGTAGCAAGCAACAATCTTAAAGTAGGGGTACACCCTGAACAGGACACCAGTCCATCGCAGGACACACACAAACACAGACACAAAAAAAACACACTTATGACAGCTCCAATTTTCCCAAAAAGCCTACATTAAAGAATATGTTTCTATATGTTTGTCTTTGGACTGTGGGAGGAAACCAGAGCACCTGGAGGGAACCCTGTAATAATGAGGAGAACATTCCAACTCTACACAGACAGCACCCGAGGGCCAGAATTGAAACCACAGACTCAGGACAGCAAGGCAGCAATGCCTATAACAATTAATTCAAGAATTAATTCATAATTATAATTGTAATGACACTCTATAATGGAATTAATCAGTCATGTGTTATAGTGCTGGATTAATATTTGCAGTTGGTCACCTTTGTATGGTGCAGGTACATTTCCTGACAAGACCACCAATTTAGTCCTGTTCTTCAGTATGTTTCCAAGGTGTTTGAAATTGTTGAGGGCAGAAAATGTGCCATTTGTCATAAAATATATGAATATTCATACTTTAAAAAGAGGAAAACCACAATAAAAGTAAATGCTTGTTACTTTAAAAAAAAATAAAAAACTATTCTCATTTCCCAGAAATCCAATATAATCTGTTGCACAGTTCCCACTGGTTTAACTTTTAAAGGTTGGGATGGGTTACTCATACTGAAAATATGACTTTCTACTTTATGACTTCAAGATGAAGCAAGTTAACAGCTTTCAGAAGTGTTTCTCAACACACCACTAGCTCACTAGATGTACTCAGACTCTTTGTACTTGAACCTAAATTAATAAATGTAATAAGTGGAGTTTTTCTTCAAGGATTTCAACCTCAAACATTAGGTAAGATAAAGCAGGTTTAGGTGACAAATACTTAAAATATTTCTGAAAGATTACTGAAAATACTATGTTTTACTTCATGAAGTGCTTTTGACACTCCTGTCCCTACTTAAACTTGGGCCTTTTCTGAAATTTTGCAATGGCCAAACAAACTTTTGCAAAGCCCACAACAGCTGGTATGCTGAAGTTTAACTTTAACTCTAAGTCAGAATGACCCCTGGCACAGAACAGCTCTTCACTTGGTTACACACCAAATCCCCCCTCCAACCCCCACCCACCCCAAAGCAATAACATGGACTGAGTTTAGTTTTCTTTTATTTCTTCAGAGCCACTTACAGCCAGGAGAAGTGTCCCTTCAAAAAATAAAATATATTATTTAAATACACAAAACATGCATTCTCCTATCACAAAATCATTTAACCTTTCAGCATTTCTCAGAGCATTGTATTTTCTCAATGGCAAAACTGTCTATGTCCTTTAAAAACCCATAGTAATATGGTTTCTTTCTCTATAATCATGATTTTTTGGGATTCGATGCATTGATGTGATGATAAGATATCTGTCTCAAATACAGCACTAATCAAATTCTTCATCAATAGCAATTTTATACTAGCTTAAAACATCTGTTTCATCATTTAAACATGAAATCCGTGACAGTATAATGATATAAAAACAATACTTTTAAGCAAAATATAAGTAACATTTTGTAGTGCTGTAAAGACCCAAATCACAAAAGTGACAATATTAATAATAATATATCACAGTATAATTTCAAGGTTATTAAATATTGAAAACTGAGAAGAAATGACTCTACTGCTTTCATTTCTAAAAACAAAATATGCATGCAGTGTTGAATAGGCAGCTGTAAATGATGTCCAATTGGATGTGTAAACCATGTGGTTGTCTGACTCATGGTTTCCAAATTAGGGCAGATGGACTGCACATTTGTTTTTAATTAAATGTAATAATAAAAGGATTTGTAAATAAACTTTGGAATTTTTGTTCCCAATGTCTAGACAGTGGAATTGTTTTGAAAAGCACATTTGATAATGGATTTCTAATTCTAAATCAAAACACTTAAATTCTATTCCTTCCTTTGGGATGACTACTGTATGTGTAAATATATGGATAACCAGAGATTACAGTATTGTACTTCTGTAGCTGCAGCACATACAGTACACTGCCCTGTCATCCGAAAAGCTGCAGGAAGACAACTGGTCAGGTGGCTGTTTAAAAAGTATAGGCTTTGTGTGTCAGTCAGTATTACGTTCTGATTTCTTTTACTCCCCTCCCGTGTGGGCTCCATTTTGGAGGATGGCATGTCGCTAAATTGGGTCTCTCTCTGGATTTGTTTAAGAGAGTGGTCCGGTTTTAAATGCCGGTACTGGACGTCCTGAGATGTAAGAAGGAGAAAGGGTGAAAAATGTGAGACGTGTCTGATTTGTTTTCTTAGCTGTGGTGTAGGGTTGGGATTGTTGTGGCATCCGTGTTTTTTTTAGTTTTCCATTATAGTTTAGTTTAGTATTGTGTAGAAAAATAGCTTGAGGAAGACTTTTCTCCAGAGACAGGTTTAGAGAGTAATTGGGTTGTAGAATAGTGTACTGTAGTTAGTTGTTTTTTTGTTGTTGTTGTTCACTTACAGTACCACTGTGTGTTTTTTTTACTTTCTGTCAGACAGTCATCCAGTCGATGTCTGCTATTTGAAGTCTGCACTTTCGGTGTGCTAGATATTAATAAACTTATTCAAGAGTGCTCTAAATGGAAAGATGTGCTAAAAAAAGAAGAGTGAGGCCCTACAGCCTGAATAACAGCAGGAAAATCTGGAAATAGAGATGACTGACCATAAGACTCAGAAGAGCCAGTCCAAGAGTAAAAGTACAAACCCAGTGCTGAGTTTTTATAGGGAAGCTCAGAGCAACTTCTGGAGAAAATTGGAAAAATTCAGGCAATAGCTGACTACCCTCGCAAAACTTACTAACATAACCAGAGAAGAGAAAAAAGTGAAGGATAGGAAGACTGAGGTGGAAAGTCTTCAAGCCCCAAACCACACAATCCACTGCTGAAAACAGATTGTCAAACATGTGCGTGAACTGAAGGCCAAGCTGGAGTGGAAGCAGAAAGACACTGTGATTTTCGCAAACATAAAGCTAAAGGGAGAAATCAAGGAACTGTGCCACATAGAGATGGCAACCAAAGGTCGAGACAATGCTTTTAAACATCTCCAGCCCCAGATGAATGATTTCAAATGGGAGCTGGAGGATACCTGTACTGCCATACAGAAAGATTGATAATAGTCAAGGAAAGTGAGAAGAATGCATGATCACAGCCTCCAGCCTCTTGGCTGTTACAGGAGGACCTGACAGCAGTAGAGCTATGCAAACAGGATGAGAAGAAAACTGGCTGACAAGCTGGCCAGCAAAAGTTTGCGACTGTCAGCACTAGCTAATCAGAAGCAATGTCTGGAAGCCAAAATCTCTCAGATGAAGGAGGAGCAGAGTTGCATGGAGATGGTTGATGACAGCCTGAGGAAGACAGTGCAGCTGCACAGCTGAATGACAAGCTGCAGTCCGAGTATAACGCATCTTGGACGAATGAGAGCACAGAACAACAGCTGGAGATACAGAATAAAGAGATGAAAGAGTTTCAGCAAAGCTCACAAGCAGAGGGTGAGCAATACAACATGGCTGGAAAAGAGGAGGCCCTGAAAGTTCTTTGAGAGGCAGAATTATTCCGCAAACACGGCTGACCTTCAAAGCCCACTTAGGCACTGAGCTACAGCTAAGTGAGTTAGTCTCTGCTTAACTAAAACCATAAAAGACCTAAAAGCTATCTGTGAGCAGCTATTTCTGGAGATGGAATGTGTTAAGATACTGCAGTTGCAGTTTTAAGCACTGAGTAAAATCTCCAGCCATTTTGAGGAGAAACCTGTCCAAGAAGGATAATGTCACCTACTGGAAAAAACAAACAACTGCCTGTTTGGAAGTTTCCAGAGGTGAAGGAGTAGGAATGCTCATCACCAGTTCCCGAGATGAATGAGGAGGTCCCTTGGTCTGTACCTCTAGAAATAATAAAAATAATGTTGCTTTATTACCCCTATACAATTTCTTGCATTAGGAATTTGTCTTTTTGCATACCCCAACTTGCTCTCCATGAGACATAGACACACAGACAGGTAGAGAAGCTTGGGGTCAGAGCGCAGGGTCAGCCATTTATACAGCACCACTGGAGCAGTTGGGGTTAAGGGCCTTGCTCAGGGGCCCAACAGAGTAGGATTCCCCTGCCGGCTACAGGATTTGAACCAGCAACCTTCCAATCCCAGGCACAGAGCCACCACTCTGCCCCTAAAGCTTATTTCCCTGACTGGGATCGAACCCGGGCCATGGCAGTGAGAGCGCTGAATCCTAACCACTAGACCACCAGGGAGCTAAATATAGATAAATGCCATGAGTCCTGAGGAGGACTTTGAGAGAGATGAAGAATGACTGCTGCTGCCTTGGCCAGAACCTGAGGACTGGGTATCAGATGGAGAAGTGGACCTGCCAAGTTTCCTTCAGTGAAAAAAAGGCAACCTCTTTCCCTTTTCCTTTTAAATTTTCCACTGTAGTAAACTCTGGCAGGTCCTCTTGTTTTACTTCATGTGACATGCTATGCTTTCTTTGGAATTCGTTGTTAATCATTTGCCAATATGTTTCAAAGGAGCTTTAATTTCAGCTTTGCAAACAGCGATATAATTTTGTTTTGGACTTATGAGCAATTTTGAACAGTCTTGGGAGTGGTTACATATTTTCTAGCAGGAAAACAGTCAGCACTTCAGACAGGGAACTGAAAATCTCTTTGTATAAAACTCAGTTGGAAAAGGACGAGCAAGAGATCCACAACAGTAAGGTATAAATTAAATTGTATTATTTTCAACTTGATGGTATTGGCACTTGTGATAGATGCAAGAATTTTAATTTTAATGTTTTCTTCCTTGTATCTCTTCTTTTTAGCAGGAAATTATAGCTTCTTGAACCAGGCATGCATATTTCAGGGGCTATATCTGGCACAGTGTAAGAAACACTGATTTAATGCTATTCTGTCTCACTGTGACACAAGCTGTGTGTTTTTTTGGTTGTTATTGTATAAAAGAGTATTTTTTTTTATTTTAGCTTCCACTGCAATATTCCTTTTTTGTTTCATTGCCCTTTTTAATAACCTTTTATACTTGAGGTTG